CTCAGGTCCCTTCTGACCCTAGAAACTATGAAACTATGATTGTGGCATTTTTTTGCTGCCGTAATGCTCCCCCACTGAGGCACTTTCTGTGCGCTGAGCTGGTGTGTGGGTTTCCTGCAGTGGTACAGTAATGATTTTATTATGCAAGGGCATAATGCAATCATTTCGACTGACTAATAAAACACAGCACTGCATAATAAAGCCTCTCCTGTCATGCTGCAGAGACCAGCACCAGCGGTGAAATCCCGGGGAAGTGTTACCCACAGCAGTGGAGAGAGGCTACGACAGAGGAAGCAAGGGAGACTGCAGCCCAGCTTCTCCCGGTGTTGTTATGGGGAAAAGCCCTTTGCCATGGTGCAGCTGAGTGTCCGGGGCTCTTGCAAACCTTTCCCACTACAGATCAGCGAGCTCTGCCTGCCTGCTTGTTGCCCAGGAATCAGGGTAGGACAAGCATACACGCATGCCAACACTGCATCTAGGTGCAGCAGTTGCTGCAATAGCAAATGATGCCAACACAAGTTCCTAGGATGCAGCTGTTACTGCCGCATGATTTAGCCCACTACCTCCTATCTCCACAGACTCATGCCCATGTCGCCTTTACATCACCACCACAGATGTGTGCACTGGGACAGTGGCTCCCTTGAGCAAGTGTCTTGAAAGTACACGTGTCCACATCCCGACTCCTCATCAGACTTATTCTTCTGAAAAGCAGCGGCCAGGATGGACCGATATTGCAAGCATCGCTATCCTGGTCTTGCTCTTACACGTTGGCCCTGCCAGCCCAGCTCTGTTCGGGATGCTGAGACTGCTCTCGCCCTTCAGAGCTCATACAGCGATCTGATGGATCCAGTCTAGTTTGTTGCAGACAGGATCTCCCATTCCCATGGGCTCTCACTCCGAGAGACCACAGGTTGAACAGGCACCCAGATTGCACCTCTATCTTCCTGGCCTCTTTCTTGAGGGCGTCAGTGGAGCCACGCGGAGTTGCCTCTGTGCCTGTCCTGTCAATAAAGCAACTGCTGCTTCGACTGCTCTCACCACAGCACTGGGCATAGGCACAGACATGGCACCATAACACCCCTGAGAGGTGTGCTCTGACACCCATCATTACCACAGCATCGGTCGTGTCCAAATCAAGCACGACGTTCCCTTCCCAAGCATTGCTTGCCTCCCTTGTTTGAGGACGACTTGTGCTGAAGCAGGAGACATCCGGCTCCCCACTTTGAGAAGTGGTTCGGCTATGCTCTAAGAAGCCAGATTTTCAAAACAAGAAGGTTAATTAATGTTTGCTTTTCTTTTAAGCCCACTGTTTCCTTCTCAAATCCCTCAGACTTTCATGTTCCCTTTTTGCTTTTCTGAAGAGCAGGCTTTAGAAATTCATAGCTCGCCGTTCCAGAATAGACAGGGGTTTGGCAAGAACGGGAATTAAAATGTGAAAAGGCTTCTCTGCGGGAGGCGTCCGTGTGTGTACCGAGCAAACAGAGGAGTGCCTGCTAGCCTGCAAGCTGGACCACACCACCATGAACTGGGAATTGCCTGCCATCCCACAGACCAGGACCCTACTTCCATGGTATCCAGACCTTCAAAGGAGCCTAAAAATTAATGGCCTCCTTGCCACTGACTTTAAAAGTCCATTTGAAAAATCCCCGATGGCGTGAAGTGCTGTTCAGCTGGGTAATGCGGGCCAACCCCCATCAGACTGGTTCTTGTACACTTCTTCTGCTCATCCCCAATTTTCTTGTA